AAATATGCTAATTATTTATGCCTCATTTGGCCTCCATTTTTTCAAATTAAAATGGGGAATAATATTTTTTGGGAAAATGAATGGTTGAAAAAGAAGGAAAAGTTTCAGGTTACGTGTAATATTATTTTATAGAGGATTATGTTATTGAAAATAGGAGAGAGAGAAATGAAATTTAATTTAATGGGGGCCAAACGAGGGCTATATATTAATTCCTACTATATAAAAAGGAGAACGGAAAGTTACTGTAAAAATCAACAGTGAATTGTTCCATTTTGTCTCACTGTACCATTTTCTTTTTTTTTTTAGTGGGGGAACAAAAAAACGATGTCGTTTGTCTTTACTTAATATATTTTATTATACAATAAAAAAGAGGTAATCTAAATTTACTGCAACACGCAACTTTCCATACCTCCCACCAAGTCTCATCTCTTCACTCCGTGCTCAACCACTCTTATATAAATATAAGAAAAAAATCATTTTTATTTAAAAAATATTAAAAAACAAAAATACTAATAATAAGATGAAAAAATATTTTTAAAGTGTAAAAAGTTACTTATAGGTAAAAAAAAAAAAATTGTTTCAAATTATTTAAAAGTAAAAAAAAAACTTATAATTATAAAAGCTACTTATATTATAAGTAAAAAAATATCAACTTAAAGTTTTAAGTATATTTCTAAAATGTAAAGAGTTACTTATAAGTAAAAAATTTGCTTCAAGTTATTTAAAAAAAAAAAAAAACTTATCATTGTAGTTACTTATATGTAAAAAGATATTAGCTTAAAATTTAAAGTAATATTTAGATATATTTAATTTTTTAAATTAAATATTAATAACAAGATTACTATAAAATTAAATATCGTCTGGAATTATTTAAAAAATAAAAATACTAATAATAAGACAAAAAATATTTCTAAAATGTCAAAAGTTTTTGCCTCCGTGCATGGAGACCCGTCTCCATATTAATTTCCATTTTTTTTTCCTGCCACGTTGTCAATGAAATTTGATCAAAACTTTATAAAAAATGATAGCTTAAAGAAAAAAAGAGAAAAAAAAATTTCGCGGAGCGTGCACGCACGGAGATTGCAACCTGGTTTCCTCCCTAACTCAATAATTTTCCAATTACACGAGTGAGTTGACACAACGAGTTCAAAGTCTTGCATTTCAGACCATTTCCACGTCTCTATCGTCTTTCACGGAATCTTGTGTCATTGCTTCACACTTACTATTACCAAAAAAATCAAACCAACACTCCTCTTTATGCTTCTCTCTCTAATTTTGTTTTATTTAATATTGTCTCTCTCATTGTTTTTGCTCTCGTTTCTTCTGCAGTAGTAGCATGGCCAAGATAGGAAATAACTAAAAATCAATACAAATCTCATTTGCCTTTTACTCACAGTAACCTATAGCCAATTATAAGTTAGTGTCATTTTGGCAATATGATTGTACAAGTGATTATAGAAGAATTTATTTGAGAGATGAAATTTCACAAGAATCAGTTTTTATTTTTCTAATAATTAGAATATTTATATTCGCTTACCAAAAACACGAAAATTTGTTTTTTTACCAGTAGCAATATTAACGAACTAAGTTTTATTTTTAATAAATTTACTGTGAGCTGTGATGGATTGTTGTGGAGGATATAAATCTTCATCAATGAATTCTCATCTTCTTTAGCTGTCTAAACTCTTTACTTTTAATAAACACGGAAATGCAACCGACAGCGATTTCCAGTCAATTCTTGCATATTCGTTTGTAAAAATTTTAGGATTAATTATTCCAATGCTTATTGAACTTTAAATTTTAGATGATACTTTCCCATAGCTACATAATTTAATCTATGTTTTCTCATTTATTACTCCATCCAACTCTGTCTGAAAATTCCAGGAGAGTGCAGTCTCCGCGCACGGAGAGAGCACACGAAGAGTGCACTAAGATTCTCAGCTTAATTACAAGGTAAGGTTTATTCCCACTTCCACCCAAGATTCTCACAACCTATAGCATGCGTGTATCTTAGGCAGTGAACCTTTAAAGAAGCATGAACTTCAAGGTCTTCTTGGGTCTTTGCTTTTCAAGCCAAACTATGATGAAACAAAGAAATTCAAGATTTTTTTTTAAAGTTTATTAAGGGGAGAAATTACACAAATGTTAGTGTAGAACTGGTTTTTAGGTAAAAATGGGATCTTTTAGTGGGTTAGGAATTGGGTTGAGTCTTGTGTTTGGGTTTATTCTAATTGGTCTTGTGTTAGAGCTATATTGCCTCACAAGCAGGAGAAGAATAGGGCAACAATCAGATTTTGAGAACTCCAGAAGTATAATTAGGACATCAGCATTGTACACAAATCTATCAAGTCTTGATTGGATGTTGCCTCTCCTAACCTCCTATTATATTCTATGTGAAGATTGAACTTTCGAGCTGAATTTTGTTAATTGACAATCAGCAAGCATTTTCATTGGATAAATGGTGATTGAATTAAGCCTTGACGGTCATTATTTGAAAAAATATAATAATAATATTTGGAATAATAAATTTTTGGAGAATGTGTGGTTGAAATTGCGTATGAAAAAGGATTTTTAAAAACAAGCCCATCAAAAGGAGGCTAATTATGCACACATTGATTGAGTATTAGATAAGTAATTTTTTTTATTTTTTTTTATCATGATTTAGAAACATTTTATGAATAATTCAAGAAGTCTCAAAACGTGAAACAATACAAGTTATCTAATGAATTGATTTTTATTGTTATTTGCTTTTGTGTTGAGTACATAATCTTAATCAGGTATGAATAATAGTTTAAATTTAGAGATATTTAATAAGTGTATTTTACACATTTATACGGACTTTTAAACTTGAGAAATAATTTCTTATTGAGTGTATTTCTACCTAGTTTAGTGTAAAATGATAATTGTAGATAAAACATAGATTTGGATGCATTTGAAGCGAAAAATACGATTTTGAGCTTAATTGGAGTAATTCAAAGAAACTGAAGATTAATTGAATTGCATGGAATAATAAGATGCATTAAGATAGCAACCGGAAAAAAGCACAAATTTTGGATGTGAAATTCAACAATTGCTTAGTTTGAAGACTAAATTGTACTCTTTCGAAACTTGTGAATAGCAATTTCAAATGAATATGGAGGTCCGAAGCTTTTGGAAGTTGTAGAATCAATTTTGAAGATTTGAATAAAGAGGACCAAAATCAAACGAAAAAGTAAAATAAGGATCAAAGTGCAATAATTTGAAAGCTGAGAGGACCAAAATTAATGAAATGAAAAGGTTGGACGGCCAATATTACAAGGAAAAAGTTCAATTACTTGATGTGCAATTTAATGTGAAAGAATGAAATAAAGGTACACGTGAAACAAAAGGATGTTGCACTGTTGGGCTCCAAATATTTTACAAATTGAATTTTCCGCATGCCGGGTCCAACCATAATTGCATACAACAATTGGATCGTCGGCCTGTGCACGACAATTTCTTGATAAAACATAGTTACAAAAGTTTCAAGATACACTTTCAAAAATAAGATATTTGTAGAAAAGTTTCAAAAATCAGTTAATTAAAAAGGTCAATTTCATACTTATATAGAGGAGTAAAGCAAGGTGTAATTGCATTACAAGACAACACACCAACACCTACTCTATGTAATCACAATTGATTGAATTTTATTTGACAATATAGGTTTTAGACCTCGTGTTTGTCTTTTGAATAGAAAAGTATTCTTTACCAACATGCTTGTAAAGTCAACGCAATACTAAATTAATCATGAGAGCTTTTTGTTAATGATGATGGATTTATAATACACCTTTGATTTAAATTATATTGAGGAACTTGTACGTCTAGTAAGATTGTTTTAGCTCTTTTTTTAATCTAATTGTTATTCGTCAATTGGTTAGATTTTTGTCCTCGACATCTCATGATGTTCTCGTCATTTGAAAAGCATCCACATTTGGACCTTGTTTATCTCAACACTTAATAGTTCATTTGTCTAGAACAAGATTTTCATTTCGATTCTAAGAGTTCTATGGGTTTTAGACATTTCATGACATATGAAGTGTTGTTCTCGACATTTGATATTTGTTGTTCTCGACATTTGATATTTTTTATTCTCGACAATTGATATTTCAACTGTCAGGAGCGACAGTTCGTAAACGTGTATACAATGTAAGGCATGAACAACATGCTACTACTGAAAGAAAATGCTCTCCCTTTCAATTTTATATCGAAACTTAGAACTATATCATCATCCAAAAATTTGTCTAATGATGGTAGGCAAAATGACGTTGCAAATATTTTTCCAAATACACAATGCTATACTCTAACAACATTCTAAATTAGCTACACGTCTCTCTTACCCTTTTTACGATCGGAGTGTGTGGAAGGAGTTCTTGTGCTGGCACTGGGTATCTTTACCTTCATGGATCGAGGTTGGCATGGTGGTGGAGCATTGACGTTAGGAAGTCATCTACAAATAACAAAAACAAACAAAACAAAAAATATGAGAGCATACTAATTAAATAAAATGACCTAAGAAATAAATGAAACCAGTTAATCATTGAAAATGCTTGCTATCTCAAATAGGTACCCATAAACGAATGTTTACAAATTCAACAAAATGTAAGAATTTAAAATTCTAACTATTTATAAAAACCTTTTAAGGACACACGAAACTTGTTAAACATATCATTGTAGTAAGGAAGTGGTTCCCACTACAGAAGCAAATCACAAGTTTACTGCATGAATTATTAAAATTATACATATCTCGACGTAATAATGATTGGGTTCAAATTGATCCCCTTTAAAGTCAATAATATAAATTCTATACTAATAATAACATAATAAATATAATACTCGTGCAACGCACGAGACGAAGACCAGTAATAAGAATGAGATCAAAAAAGTTGAGAACATGAATGAAATATTGAACAAAGTGTAAAAACATTCATTACAATTAAGGCCCAATTTACTACAAGCATTACATATCAAGGACCGGTAATGCAATTTCCTCTTCTAAAACATCTCCGTCCCAAATCAGGGTTTTGCTCACTTTCACCTTCTCCTCATCTTTCCTACCTGAGAGCTCTGCTGATAAACTAGATTTCAAGTTCCCCATTTGCCCTTCAAATCTCAAAAAATGACGACTGTTGTCCCTACTTCCGAAGAAGATCCCACTCTCGCTGTCGTCCGTTTCACCGCCGAGATGCCCTGGGCAGACGCTGGTCCCGATGTACTACACATATACTCACACATGCGTATTATCATCTACAGCAAATTTTATTTTTATATTTTTTTTTCAAATTCATGGAAATTTTTTTGCGAAAATTGTAAATTTTGTTTTGCAAGATTTATGATATCTTTTTTCCTGTTGGAACCCCGTGCATTTGATTGAATTTTGTGTTATTTAATATTTGAAATTTGTTAGGTAGCGGAGGGTCAGGTTAGTAGATTGTGCGTGGGGCGCAGAAATGTATGGTACAGAACCGATGGTTGGATTTGGCCTCATTGATGCTAACCTCGGCCGATTTAATTTTCTCCAAAGCCTCAGAGAAAGGTAAGATTGCGGTGCTTTGTAATTTTGATATATTTTTTCTTTTTAACGGGTCTTTTTGACATTAAATTCAGAGAATTCGTCAAATTGGCAAACTCCCAATGCGCATGCCAATGGCCTCAAGTTCTAATTTTTATTTCAAAGGGGTTTTTTTCTTTTTAAAGTATCTTCAATATATTTGTGATAAATTTCTTCTTTTTCTTAACTAGTCAAATCTGTCCTAGCCTAATTAAAATGGACCCCGATTAAAATAGACTCCATTTTTGTTCATCTTCACTAATCATTACAAGCGGAAATGGGAAGGGGGAGAGAAGATGACACCAGAAAGATGGTGTGACTTTGGGATCTTTAAGAAATGTAAGGAAGAATTATGTATAAGTGAGACATTATTCAATAAAATGCCTTCAGGCTTCAGCTCAGGTCTTTTTAAGGAAATCTCTGAATAGGGAGTTTCCAACTTTCTGATGATTGAAGTGGATTTTCTTAATTGATTATTAATGAGAAATTTTGAATCCGCGTATGTGTAAAGATGCTCGAATTAGATGATTGTAATCATTTTTTTCCCTTCCTGCTCCCTTTGTGATCTAAGCCCATTTTTATACTTTGTTATGATTAAGCCCTGTTTGTTTCCCATTAAAATAAAAACATGACCGTTATCTATCACATCAATCACCAAATTTGAATTTCTAAATCTTGTGTGGGGTCCATAACGGCTATATTTTTCATTCTCATTTTTACAAAAATGGGAAACAAACGCCCCTTAATTGTTGAAAACTTGAACTTGTTTTGTCTTTCAAAGATTATATCTGGTAAAAGCTTTAGATCTTTTTGCTTTCTAGCTTTATCATACATTGCAATTCTGTTATGTTCTTGGCTAGTTAACGGTCATGATATTGCTTTTGGAAATACATAAGATGCTAATTGATGGCTTTAATCTCAGATCTTGAATGCGTCTACACTGTTATTTGTAACCTTGTCACAAAGCCCGAGAGCCTTGAGCAAGTTCATGAGATGGCAGAGCTTATATCCACAAAAGTTACCCTACAGCCAAATGATAAGCCTGCATTTCGCTTAAAGATGTAATGTCCATTGCCATAATCAGTTTAGTTCAGTGAAATTATTTGTCCTTCTGTCTAATCACTAATATTTTCTTTTCTTTTCTGTTTCTTCCTGCTTTTTCAGTTTGTTTAACCTCTACAATCTATTGGAGAGCCCGTATAGCCAGTACTTTGTGTACATGAAGTCCCTTAATTTGGCAGCAAATGGAAAGGTCACTGAACATGTTGTACCATCATTTAAAAAGATGGACAACCTTTTGAGGGAGTGGAATCTTGGAGTTAAGGAACAGAGAGAGCTCTTTCTTACAATTGTTAATATTTTGAAGGAAAACAAGAGGTGAGAACCTTGCTTTCTTCTTAAGAGAAAAATAGAAGGTCAGAACATTGCATTATACGCTTCAAATTGCTAATCCTCTTCAGCTCAATATTGTTGGAAATGATTAAATTATTGATTTTTTTATTTATTTATTTTTTGCTGGATTTTCAGCTCTGCTAAAGATTCTTTTAAATGTTTGGTTAAGTATCTGCTGACCTTTTCTGATGAAGAAGCACTGACTATGAATGAAGCTAAGGAAGAAGCTTTCCGCACCATTATTGAATTTGTAAAGGCTTCTGACATGTTTCAGGTATCATTTGTGACTGTTTACTAACTTATGCAATTTCACGGGGAGTATACATTTTATGCTTGGTATTTGGTTTTGTAGCTTTATTTTATCTGTTGTTTTCTCCTCAGAGCATTTCTAAGGGTGATGGATTGAATTTTGTCCTGTGTAGTGGTACCAAATTCAGGAAGCATCTTTAGCAGCAAATAAATTATGTCTCGAGTGCACTTTAAATATTTACTCATACCTATTTGTAGGTATTAAGTGGTATTTGTGTCATCAAAAGCGTATCCGAGCACTCAGTTGGATGTGTTAAATGGAACAACTGTAATCTTCACCTTAAATGATGCATTAGTTTCTGTGATGTTGTTCTTGATATGAGGTACACTGTGCATTGGTTCTTGTATTCACCAACTTGAAGGTTTTAGCAAGCAGCAAAGCCATCTCTAATCCTAGTTTTTTGCTTCATGACTGAAGAAAAATGCAGAACAGACTGCGGTGCTATGCATACTCATCATGGTTACTTGTGAAGTATTAGAATGTGCAATTTCCACCACCCACTCTCATTTGTGTGTCATTGTGAAATTTGTAGGTTTTGGATATCTCAGTTTGAAATGGTTGCATTTCTAGTTTCGAGGTTGTAGTGACTGTATCTTGCACCAGAACTGCTGCCTCGCCTTTCCTAACTATGCGATCAGCTCCTTTTTCATGTCAAAAATTGAGGCAGGAAGATTTTATTAGGGGGAAATGGCTTCAACACAATTTTTAGTTCAGATCTTATAATTTTGGGTCATTACCTGAATGAACAAACTGATCCCTTGTAATGCCTATCGCTCTAGAGCTATCCAAGGATCTGGATAGTTTTTAAGTTTTTTAATCTTTTAGAACCATAGTTTCAAAATCCTGACAGGAAAAGCCAGAAAGATTGGAAACCTGTCCTCCCAACTGATCCAGATGAGGTGGATTGGATGTGACATGATCAAGAACTGGATGAACAGGCCGGTTTTTACTCTACCAGTAACCCAATTGAGTGAACTGGTTTTGCAAAATAATTTTAAAGGTTCTGCAAAGTCTGGAACTTGAGACCTGCCATTCATTATCTAGCTGGACTGTTATTGAGACCGCACTGTGTCTTGTTCCTTTTGTGCAGCGCCATTGTAAAAGTGAACTGTTATCACCAGTTCATGTTGCTTTCATGAGCATTTGTTTTTGTCACATCTCTCTTCCTGATTTTGTTCTGTGTTTGTTTGCAAGGTTGATTTGCTAGATTTGCCTGCTGTAGCGCAACTGGAGAAGGATGCTAAATATGCATCGGCGTATCAGCTTCTAAAAATTTTTTCGACTCAGAGGTTGGATGCATACTTGGATTTCGATGCAGCAAACTCTGCTTTATTGCAGAGCTATGGTATCGTGTCCCTTTATTTTGTGATGTTTGAATTGCGGGCACTTAGATGGGTTATATACTTCATGGTGTAGGAAAGTTTAATTTGTTTTTTCTGGTATTTACTTCTCGGGATTATACAGGGCTTGTACATGAAGATTGCATTGCAAAGATGAGGCTGATGTCATTGGTAGATCTTGGATCAAACCAATCTGGTCAAATTCCTTATTCCTTGATCAGGGACACACTCCAGGTAATTTTGACTTATTTTTATAGTTAGTTCTTTTTCTGGACCCAATGTTCTTCATACTGCTGTGTGGTCTTTTGCAGATTGAAGACAATGAGGTGGAACTGTGGGTTGTTAAGGCAATTACAGCCAAGTTAATTGTCTGTAAAATTGATCAAATGAATCAAGTAGTAGTTGTGAGGTGGTCTCTCTCCCTCCACCCCCCCCCCCCCCCCCTTTTTTTCTTTTTTTATTTCATTTTTTTTCCCCCCCCCCCCCCCCCCCCCCCTTCTTTCTTCCTGTTAAACTTACATTTTTGACGGTAACTGAAGACTTGCAGTCAAAGAAAGTAATATTTTGTACTGAAATTCAAATAAAGTGAGTTTTTAAAATCCACCAACATGTTTGGATTTTGATATTTGTACACCGGGGTTGACCGACCAGTCACAACAGGGGGGCCCACGACGAATAAAAAAATCGTGGGCCCCCCTATTGTGAGGGGGCCGTACAGTGTACGAGTTGCAAGATCCAACATGTTTTGACCAATGAAAGCATTTAAGGTCGTTGATTACACTTATTCGTGAGTGCAGTCAATGCAAGGAGCGCGTATTTGGGCAGAATCAATGGCAAGCACTTCGAACAAAACTTACGACTTGGAGGGTATTGATTATTTTATTTACTCCGTAATATTTTCCCATTTTGACGCTTATGGATTTGCTCTAGTATAGGTCTTGGACACCATTGTTTTGATCTTTTACAACGACTAGTTAAATTTGTGTGTGTTTTCCCCCAGGATAACATTGGAAATGTAATAAGTACCATTCAGGCTAACAAGATTACTGAAGATGCCCCACAAGCAGTGCAAGGATCGACGCTTCACTGAGATTTTTCACTTGATCAACCATTGATTCGAGACCGAATTGCATTTGTCATTGGTTCATTCCAGGCTCTCGAATCTTGGGACAAAGTCGATTCGTACATTCTCTAAAATTTGTAGTCATTCTTTTTCATTTTCTCATTTTCGACTATGTTACATGGATGTCATATTAAGGCGCCAGAATGCGACAAGTTTTGGAAAGGCGAAAGTGAAGTCGTCCTTTCAGCAAAAGCTTTAGCATGTGATCACGTCTTTTTTTCACTGTCCTTTTAATCAACTAGCTCATTGATGGGCTCCTAAGGAGGGATAGCCATTAATTTCTTATCCGAAACTATGAATTTGTCTATAAATTTTCTTCGTCTTCTGTTAAATAGATCAATATTAGTTGAGATTTCTCTGTAGAGAAACATGAATTTCCTTTACTTGATGGTCGGCATTCTAGCGATCCTTGGTGAAACTGTCAAAACTGTCGAATGTTTTAGCAGCGCGAAGTGCAATGGTTCCGCGATAGGTGACTGCGTTCTGATAAATGAGGAGTTTATGATGGAATCAGAAATAAGCAGAAGGATTTTGGGTCAACAATCCCAACCGAATGTTTACAACTCTTTGAATTCGAAACCCTTCTGCAGTAGAGAGATATACAATAATTGTATTGGAGAACCGAACGCGCAATTCCTAAAACGCCCTTGTGACTACAATAATGCCTGCAATAGGCCTGGAAAGTGATTAAGGATTAATCAATTGCTTTGCTTCTTCGAAAGAAAGAAACTGGCTTATCTTTTACTTTTAAGCTAAGCCAAACATGATCAGTGTTCCCGTTTGTTGCCCTTTATAAATGTATGTATTATGCGAATAATTAATGTCATGTGTACGTATTCTGTTTGTTGCTTAATTACATGTATTGTATTAATCAGCTTGTTCACTCCAAATTAATAATTTATAAAAGATTTCCTTCCGTCCTATAAAGACAAGTTTGATTTCCTTTTTCGCCTATCTCAAATTATAGACCACCTTCCCTATTGAAAATATAGAAATTTCTTAGATAGCTACATACATTTAAGGATTTTTTGGCCAATATGATGTTTGCAATGTTATTGTTTAGTTTCTTTTCCACATTAATATGTTTCAACTGAAAGACAACCTCTATTTGGCAACTACTATTTCAAAACTTTTTATTCTACAAATTCATTTTTAACCACATAAAATATTTTGCACGTAAATCCCTTTTTTTTTTTTTAACTTCTTAATCACACATTCTCTAAATATTTACTATTCTAAACATTTTTTTTAGGGTCAAATAATGAACCATAAAACGGGGCATACTAGGAAAGTATAATATTCCAAAAGTTCAATATCAACATCATAAATTTTTTATTTTTCATTTTTTCAAACAAAAATTCAAATACAAAAAGACCCAAACAAAAAGTGGATCCCACACTAGACAATGGCTATTCTTTCTCTTATGTGGAATTCATCTGCACCAACAATTAACAATTATTAAAACATAATCTGGTGATTAGAGATATTTAAATAAAATGAAAAAGAAAAGGAAAATTTCACACCTTTGGTCGGTTGGTCCTTAACCTATTCCCTCAATAGAAAGTTGGTTTCTAACTTTTGAAAGGATCAAGTTGTAACAAAAGTTACATTATAACTGCACATGAATGTCTTTCGTGACAGAAATAGTCTAGACCCTATTTGGTTCAGCCCAAAAATTTTTATTATAATCTAAGCCAAAATTAATTAACAACCTATTTAATGAGATTCACAGCTTTTAAGAGTATATTTCATCAACTCTTATCAAAACCCATGATAATTTAATTTTGTCTAAATCAAACAAGCGCTAGACCTTCATTAAATTGTCAAGTGACTCTCGTAAAAGAATTAATCCCTGAGTACATGGATTAATTTTACAGAGGCCTGCCAGATCCCTCACTGTAACAGGCAAGCCCCACATGTAATAAAAAAAAATTTCAACGGGCCCCACTGTGTGTGTATCCTGTTAGAAACTTGTACTTCAAGCAGGGTTCCTCGTAAAATTATATCATAGTTGGAATTTCTAAATACTAATCCAATTCGTGAATTTAAATTTAAAATGAAACATATGAGGACAACTTAATGATTCAACACATATTCGGGAACTTTTACTAATTTGAGACTGATTGATTATGCAACAAATATAATGAGAATTGTGAGGATTTACATTTTATATTTTAAAAGATAAAGACTAAGAGAATAATTTTCTACTAAAATACTATTTTTAAAAGCATGTGATCATGTCCTTTTTAATAGGAGTGAACGCGGTTTGATTTGAACAGTTTGTGCTATATTTTCAACTCAAACTATTTTATGCGATTTGAAATTTTTTCAAACCAATCAAAATCATTTTATTTTTCGAACCAAACCAAATCAAACCATAATATGCAATTTACTTCAGTTTTAATTTGCGGTTTACTCAGCGACATTGTAGTAATATTTTTAAAACAAATTAACGTATAAGTTTAATGAAAACTAATAATGTTAAGTGTTAAATTACATTCATATTTACCATGAAACCCATGAATAAATTATTATCAAAGTTGATTATTAAAAGATGTTAATAGATCAAATACATCTTTCTTCATTTTTATTTATCTTTTCTTGTTTGACTTTCATATTGTCACATAATAGTTGGCAAAGGTATAATCACATTCTGATACTATAATTTGGTTAAAACTCATTTTGTCTTACTAGTGAGATGTTAAATAAGAATTTAACAAAATAATTTTAGATGTACAAAAATTAATAGAATTTAGGCTTATTGATTCTCTAACTACTTTATAAAAGTAGGAGGTAGTAATACTAGTTATGAAATTTTAATATATTCACACAATCAATACGCTTTGTCATTCGTTCTTTCTAAAACACAATCAAGTTCATTAATAAGTTAAAAAATAATAAATAAAAGAAATAACAATAGAAAAATAGTTTGAATGAGAATCTGAAACCTATAGAGAGAAGGGAGAGAGAGGATATTCAAGTAGAAATTAGCAGATTAACAAGTAAAAAGCAACTGATGATTCGTTCAGCAGTGGTAAACAAGTGCCAAATGTTTGGGAAATAAGAATTTATGTTAAGGCTTCTGAAATTTTAAACGTGATTTGTTGCCTTAGTTTTGTTAAATTATGATTTGGATTGTCGAAAATATATGTTTTTTCTTTCTTTTTTATGCATTTCATATGATTTGGAATAATTTTAGTTTAGCTTAGATAACAAGTGAGGATAGGTGTTGTGAACTTGTTAAACTATGGGCTAATAATGATGAACCTAATTTATTTTCTATGATTATTTCAATGGGCTGATAGTAATTTGTATTGCTAAATTGGTACATTTTTTTCCTGAAAAGTGAAAACTGTCAAATTTATAAATTAATAAAACTAATATTTTAATTAAAAAATTTTAAAATGGATCGGTTCGGTTCTGTGCGATTTTTAAAAATTGAAACATAAACCAAACCATTTTGAAACGATTTGGTTCGGTTTGAGGGAATAAAAACCGTGAGTCCATGTGGACTCAAACCAACGGTTTCAAATCAACAGTTTGGATTCGATTCGCGATTTTCGTGATTTTTTTGTGCAACCCTACTTTTTAAAATGTCCTTCTAATCACATAGCTCATTTATGGGCTCCTATCCATCATCATGGACCCACATTTGGCCTTATTAGGCTTGGACGTGGTTTGATTTGGTTTGGGTGGATTTAGAATCCAACTTGAAACTAAAACCATATTAGTCGATTTGGATGAATTTCCACCCAAATTAATCAACTCTAACTCTTAAACTGAATTGAACCAAACCAAGTTGGTTTTGTTAGCCGATTTGGATTTTTAGTGCAAATTGATTTTATTTTTTATTTTTAAAAGAAATTGTCCATGTTTTAGCCAAATTAGATTACAAGAACTAAAATAACTAAATAACTTTATATTGCAAAAATTATTGACGAACAAATAAAATCAGGTTATTATAGAACAATCAACAAAAAAATTAAAAAAATTTTTCCTTATATTATGTAATCTGACTGTCTAAGTATGGAAAAAGACTAAGTATAACATAATGACTTGTGAAATGAAATTTTCAGTACTATTACTTAGCGACAACATTATACATTAGAGGGAATTGTGATATAGTTACGAGATTATGACTTATCTTTTAATTTCTATTTTTCTTTAAAAAAAAAGGTAAATATATAAGTGGGTTGTGTTGATTCGGCTAACCAATGGATTAAGACTTCAAACCATAATCAAACCAAACCACCATGGTTTTATTTAAAAGAAAACCAAACCAAACCAATTACTTATGTCAAACTGATCCAAACCGACTCAAGTCGGTTTGGTTTGATCGATTTTTTATTTTTATTTTTTTGCCGAGGCCTACCTATTATTTTCCACTAAATTATAATTCATTTCTCTCTTATCTTATCAATTATACGTCCTCCAATTAAATAATATTGCATCAAAATCCAGAAACTTTTCATTTTTTTAAGCAGATATTCTTCAAAAATAAATAAATAAATACTATTTCTTTAATTAAAAAGTGGAATAATGGGGCCAAATAGGCACTATGAATTTATCTATAAATTATCTTCAGTATTAGTTGAGATTTCTCTGAAGAGAGACATGAATTTCCTTTACTTTACAGTGGGCATTCTTGATCTTCAGCGAAACGATCGAATGTTTTAGCGCCACCAAGTGCAATGGCTCCACGATCGGAGATTGCATTCCGGTAAATGAGGAGTTTCTGATGGAGTCAGAAATAAGCAGAAGGATTTTGGCTGAACCAACCAAAACGAACGTTTACCAAACTGCCATCCGGATGAAACCCTTCTGCCTGAGAAATTCATACGGTAGTTGTATTGGAAATCTGAACACACAGCCCGAAAACGCCCTTGTGCCTACAATAATCTCTGCGCTAGGTCAGGACAATGATTAAGGATCAATCAATTATGGCGAGAATGTACGGCTTTGCTTCTTCTACAAAAGAAACTGGCTTATCTTTTACTCTTAAGCTAAGCCAAACATGATCAGTGTTCCCGTTTGTTGTCCTTTATAAATGTATGTATTATGCGAATAATTAATGTTGTGTGTGTATTCTGTTTGTTGCTTAATTACATGTATTAATCAGCTTTTTCACTCCAAATTAATAATTTATAAAAGCTTTCCTTCCTATATAGACAATTTTGATTTTCTTTTTTGTCGATCCCAAATTATAGACTACCTTCCTTTTTGAAAATATAGATATTTTTTAGTTATCTACATACATTTTAGGATTTATTGGTCAATATTAATGTTTGCAATGTTATTGTTTAGTTTCTTTTCCACATTAATATATTTTAAGTGAGACATAACACTCTCTTTGACAACTATTATTTTAAAAAAAATTTATTCTACATATTCAACCACATATTTATACAATAAAGAATAATGCCCAGTGCACAGGGCATTATTCACAGGGCCCCTCAATGTTCAAAAGCCCAACATGTATTTAAAAAAAATTACATGGGCGTGGTATGTGTGAGGCCTAGCAGGGACTTGTTCCCTGTAAACCTAGCAGGGTTCTACAATAAAATATGTTACACATAAATTCAAATTTACTTTTTAACCATACATTCTTTAAAAATTCACTATTCAAAACTCATTTTTTTGGGTCAAATAATGACCGTCAAACGGGGCATAGTAGGAAATTATAGTATTCCAAAACTTCAATTTCAACTTTTAACATCATAAATTTTTTATTTTTTTATTCAAAAAAAAAATTCAAATACAAAAAGACCCAAACCAAAAAGTGAATCCCACACCAAACGATGGATATTCTGTCTCTTATGTGGAATTCATCTGCACCAACAGAACCAACGACTAATTAACAATTAGTAAAACATAATCTAGTGATTAGAGATATTTAAATAAAATGAAAAAGAAAAGG